CATTTAGGCTTTGTCCATCGAAATTCATTATATTATATGTTAAAAGATCTTCTTCCAAATCTTGCGGTAACGAGAACTTTAGTACTAGACTGATATTTTACACCTACAGAGCCATGGCCCAAATGACTTGAAAAATAAGATGAATTAACCTAACCCACTCTTTGGATATGAACCCCCCTCCCCCCACCCCCAACAAGAAAAAAATGTACTATTTGGCTTGCTCTATGTGGGGAGAGTTTTGCTTGTAAAATGTGACAAATGGTGGTGGTGGTTGAAGTCACAAATCTAAACCGTATGAGAAAATGATGACAACAGCATATGTACCCATTAGATGTCCCACACCAAATTAATGGGTGTTTTGGCATGGACAAAGAGTCATAATAAACCAGCTAAGGTGAGGTAGACAGTAGTCTCTTAATTATAGTCTTCATATGTACCTACATTACATTGTATGGCAGGTTTTATCTGCTTAGCTTTTATTATGTGGCCCTAAGGTGTCCTAAAACTCATGATTTTGCACCTAAATGCAAGGAAAAGTTCAAAATCAATTAAAACAGGGTCATGAAGTGGATATCATTCTGAGAGGACACATGTGTTCACACGGTGATGAAAAATCGTATGTCCATTCAAAATATAGTGTGAATGAGTCACATTCTAAGCAAATATAAATATAGTGAGAATGAGTCATATTCTAAGCAAAAATCTCGATTAAGATTCTTCAGAGAGAAGCATATCAAAGTGCAAGAACACATCTATGGAGCCCTTCGGGACCTCAAGTGAAACCTTAGAATACATAGTTAAAAATACAATATCTCAATAAACTCAACATTTTTAATTTTGATCTAATATTTTCCTAGGGTATGAATGTATTATGAGGTTGATAGCATAGTAGTGTTCAAAAACCTAGTCTACCCGACGGGTTGTCCCAAAACCCTGGTAAACTAGACCTTAAATCAGTCCGATTCATTAGTAGGATCGTTCAAGCATTAAACCTCATCCTAGACTCGTTGAATTTAGGGGTGCAACTCGGGATGGTTGAGGAGTCAACCCTATTCCAATTTTAGGTATATAATTTTCAATTTTAACCCAAACCCAATCTCAACCCGAAGTATTGAACTCGAGTACTGTCTAAGTTGAATTCAGACGGACTCGAGTTGAATTTGATTTTTTTTAATTCAGGTTGATTTTGGGTTAGAATTCAAATTGAATTCGGGTTACAAATTACACAACTCAATCAGAACACAACACAAAAAAATTAAATCAAAAGGTCCAAAACACCATAGCCATCGCCACCACAACCATTGCCCACTGCCACCTCCGGCCCCGTGATGTTCTTCGCTGAGAAAGGCGCAAATCTGATTGAGAGGCGTAGGTCTAAGAGAGGTCCCCTTGGTCGTTGTGGTCTTTGGCGTAGATGGAATCGTTGTGGTCTTCACAGATCTAACTATCTAAGAGAGAGGGCATAGGTAGGCTATAAAGGCAAAGAACGAGAGAGAGAGAGAGAGAGAGAGAGAGAGAGAGAGAGAGAGAGATTGAGAATCCTAGTGCTTTATATATATATATATATTTAATTTGTCGGGTTCAAGTTGGACCCAATAACCCGAGGGTTCNAGATCTAACTATCTAAGAGAGAGGGCATAGGTAGGCTATAAAGGCAAAGAACGAGAGAGAGAGAGAGAGAGAGGCGAATGAGATTGAGAATCCTAGTGCTTTATATATATATATTTAATTTGTCGGGTTCAAGTTGGACCCAATAACCCGAGGGTTCAACTTGGGTGTTATCCGAATTCAATTAGGTTATAATTTTTGAACCTAGACTTAATCCAAAATTTTAAAACCTCAACCCAAACTCTATTTTTTGTTGGGTTGGCTCACCAAAGGTACACTTGAATTGGACAGTTTTTGGATAAACCTTTCAAACCGGACTGTTAGCCGCAAATCAGCGGTTCACCGAGAATCAAAAAAATGCACCATCGGGATTTGCTCTAAAACACCCAGGTAATGGATCTTGAGAAGCTTACATATTGGGCATACAAATTGCTGGGTGTTGGAGATTAAAGTATTAAACCAATCTCTCATTTAATTAATTGTTATGTTAACTTGTATTAATTTACAAGTGGTTTAGGAATCCTAACCCAGATGGATTCTAATAGCTCTATGCTCTTTGATTATTTTATTAATAGAACTAATGTTGCTTCAGAGTTGGCTTCTTGAATTGTTTTAAAAATTGGATGCATTGGACACATAGTTTGATAATTTTTGGTTTTTTTTTTTTATAATATATATTAAATATGCTATTTTAATAATTAATAATAATTTATTTATTTATTATATTATCGATCTGACTAGTATTCAAGATTTAATGCATGGAAAAACCAAAATTAGGCTTCGTATTAGGGGTGTTAATTTTATCAATTAACACGAATCCAATATAAACAGGACACGACACAAAACTTAAAAATGATATGATTAATTCATACGAATAATAAATGAGTGAAATTAAGGTTAAATACAAATAGCATGATTAACACGTACTGTAAATAGAAAATAATTATTTTATAATTTTTTTTAAAAATTTTAAATATGTTTATATGAATTGTTGTGAAATTAAATAATATTTTTTTAACACAAATATTAATACGCATATGATACGTACCAAAAATGATGAACACAAAAATAACACCACGTGAAAATGAAACAACCTAACACAATTGACACCAAATATTTCGTACACTGTTCGTTGGACATGGGTTATGGTGGCCATATTTTTTCGGATGATGGGGAAAATCCCAGGCCTATCATCGGCGAGATAGATGAGATAGAGGCGCCTTAGCCGTCCAGAATCATGAGTTTGAATAAAAACAAAGACAAACTCTGAGTGTATGAACTGATCCCTTAAAACTCATAAACTAGTTAAATTAGGATTTACGTTTTGGTGGAGATTTGAATTCATATTAGAGATTAGTCATTGTCTGTTCTTAAAGACACTATTTAATAAAAAAAAATCTTAAATTGTTGTCTAAATTCAAAAGAAATGATCTAAAAATATACCTATAAAATTTTTTTTTTTCAAAATGACTCGAAATATATTGTCGATCATATTCTCCATATTAATGAAACTGTCATAAAAATATATAAAAACTCTCTAAAATAACATCATATATATAAATACCGCTGGAAAAAAAAAACGCTAATATAACTTATTGAATTTACAATCTTTAAACAATAAATAAAATTTTACTTATTTATAAAACTCCCGAATTTATCACATCTATTACCACTCAATCCAATAACACAACATAATTATAAACTCAACCACCATATTTCCAATCTATCCTATCCCTATGTAATAAATGAATAAAAAACTAACAAAACACAATTAAATTAACAATATTTAAAGAATAAATAAATTCAACCAAATCTTATTCATTTATAAAACTCATGAGTTTATCATCATTATCACCGTTAAACCTCAAATGACACAATATAATTACAAATTTAACCACCAAATGTCCAATCCTCCACATATAAATATAAACAAAAACAAATCCCTCACATTTCTTTTTTGGTTACTAACAAACTCTCCTAACCAATAAATACTTTTATTAGAAATAAAATAATTCAAGTTTTTAAGATAAAATAATAATAAAATAATATTTAATTGAAAAACAGGGTAATAATATTGAACATCCCTTGAGTTTTGGTAATATTACATAGACACTTTAAAAATAACATGGAGACACCCTAAGGTTTGAAATTCATTGTATGGAGACTCCTTATAGACAATATTGTTAATGAAAATTGATAATTTTATCCAATTTTTTTTTAATTATTTTTACAATTGCCCTTCTCCAAATTTAATACCAAAAAAATTAAAAATTTAATAAAATCAAATAAAATTTGATTTAATACCCAAAAAATTGATTAAATAAATTTCAATATTAATTTGATAATAATAAAAATTAATTTGATAAAATTGATTATAAATTGGACAAATTATATATTAATCTATAATCTAAGGTTCATTTCATGTTAAAAATTATTTGATGCTATTTTTTATTTACATTAAGTGTTATTTACAATTTAAGAAGTAAGTGGGAAATATATGTTGTCAGATATATAAAAATTTTAAATTGATTTCATGGAATAAATAATTGAATAACATNAGAAAAAGACAAACTCTGAGTGTATGAACTGATCCCTTAAAACTCATAAACTAGTTAAATTAGAATTTACGTTTTGGTGGAGATTTGAACCCATATTAGAGATTAGTCATTGTCTATTCTTAAAGACATTATATAATAAAAAAAAAATCTTAAATAGTTGTCTAAATTCAAAAGAAATGATCTAAAAATATACCTATAAATTTTTTTTTTTCAAAATGACTCGAAATATATTGTCGATCATATTCTCCATATTAATGAAACTGTCATAAAAATATATAAAAACTCTCTANAGGGCAAACAAAATAAAAAAATATAATAGAATAAGAAAGAGGGAGAAAGTTATATAAGAGATAGGAGTCTTGCAGTTATAAAAGGAATAAAAATTTAATTAAGACCATCTGATCAAAACGATCTAATTCACGAAAAGATCAAGACAAACAATTTATCTATTTTATTATATAAATTTAGATATAATTCGTCCAAACAATTGATGTCATTTCAACTAATTAATCGTATTTTTTGTTGCTAATGAAACTTGAATCTTTGCCCTCATAAAAATTAAACTTTTATATGATAAAAAAGTATCATTAAATTAAAGACCGATAGGTGATTATGGTGGCCGTTGTTAGTGGTGAATGATGGAAATTAAATTGAAGTATTGCCTCGCTCACCTGTATCTCAAACAAACGAGTAGAGATTCGAATTATTGCCTCGTCGTCCATGCTAGATTATTGTTTGTGGTGATGTCTCCGAGACTACAGCTAGCAAACTACACTACAAAACAAGAGTAGTAGAGTGCTTTGAAGTTTCCAAATTAAGGGCAATCAAAATAGAATGGTGTTGGGTACTTTTTGCTCCAAAAATGGGACAGCTATGTCTANTTTTTAAAGAATAAATAAATTCAACCAAATTTTATTCATTTATAAAACTCATGAGTTTATCACCATTATCACCGTTAAACCTCAAATGACACAATATAATTATAAATTTAACCACCAAATGTCCAATCCTCCACATATAAATATAAACAAAAACAACTCCCTCACATTTCTTTTTTGGTTACTAACAAATTCTCATAACCAATAAATACTTTTATTAGAAATGAATAATTCAAGTTTTTAAGATAAAATAATATTTAATTGAAAAACAGGGTAATAATATTGAACATACCTTGAGTTTTGGTAATTTTACATAGACACTTTAAAAATAACATAGAGACACCCTAAGGTTTGAAATTCATTGTATGGAGACCCCTTATAGACAATATTGTTAATGAAAATTGATAATTTTATCCAATTATTTTTTAATTATTTTTACAATTGCCCTTTTCCAAATTTAGTACCAAAAAAATTAAAAATTTAATAAAATCAAATAAAATTTGATTTAATACCCAAAAAATTGATTAAATAAATTTCAATATTAATTTGATAATAATAAAAATTAATTTGATAAAATTGATTATAAATTGGACAAATTATATATTAATCTATAATCTAAGGTTCATTTCATGTTAAAAATTATTTGATGCTATTTTTTATTTACATTAAGTGTTATTTACAATTTAAGAAGTAAGTGGGAAATATATGTTGTCAGATATATAAAAATTTTAAATTGATTTCATGGAATAAATAATTGAATAACATGTAATTTTATTTTTATGGAATAAATAATAACAAAAATAACACAGGGCAAACAAAATAAAAAAATATAATAGAATAAGAAAGAGGGAGAAAGTTATATAAGAGATAGGAGTCTTGCAGTTATAAAAGGAATAAAAATTTAATTAAGACCATCTGATCAAAACGATCTAATTCACGAAAAGATCAAGACAAACAATTTATCTATTTTATTATATAAATTTAGATATAATTCGTCCAAACAATTGATGTCATTTCAACTAATTAATCGTATTTTTTGTTGCTAATGAAACTTGAATCTTTGCCCTCATAAAAATTAAACTTTTATATGATAAAAAAATATCATTAAATTAAAGACCGATAGGTGATTATGGTGGCCGTTGTTAGTGGTGAATGATGGAAATTAAATTGAAGTATTGCCTCGCTCACCTGTATCTCAAACAAACGAGTAGAGATTCGAATTATTGCCTCGTCGTCCATGCTAGATTATTGTTTGTGGTGATGTCTCCGAGACTAAAGCTAGCAAACTACACTACAAAACAAGAGTAGTAGAGTGCTTTGAAGTTTCCAAATTAAGGGCACTCAAAATAGAATGGTGTTGGGTACTTTTTGCTCCAAAAATGGGACAGCTATGTCTAATCCAACCTAACCTTAATTAGCTCACGGGTCTCAAGCTTGTAATGCCCACTTGTTATCCAATGGCCACAAGGAGTGAATGCACACAAAGTTTTCATATGTCAACACTTAATAGTGTAGTGTTGTCAAATAGGAAAAAAAAAAAAAATAATCTATTGTCTCGGTCAATACAAAAATATTTGGGCAAATTACATTTATCTTTCTTGCAGTTTGACCAAATAANAGTTGATTATAAATTGGACAAATTATATATTAATCTATAATCTAAGGTTCATTTCATGTTGAAAATTATTTGATGTTATTTTTTATTTACATTAAGTGTTATTTACAATTTAGGAAGTAAGTGGGAAATATATGCTGTCAGATATATAAAAATTTTAAATTGATTTCATGGAATAAATAATTGAATAACATGTAATTTTATTTTTATGGAATAAATAATAACAAAAATAACACAACGCAAACAAAATAAAAAAATATAATAGAATAAGAAAGAGGGAGAAAGTTATATAAGAGATAGGAGTCTTGGAGTTATAAAAGGAATAAAAATTTAATTAAGACCATCGGATCAAAACGATTTGAGTCACGAAAAGATCAAGACAAACAATTTACCTATTTTATTATATAGATTTAGATATAATTCGTCCAAACAATTGATGTCATTTCAACTAATTAATCGTATTTTTGTTGCTAATGAAACTTGAATCTTTGCCCTCATAAAAATTAAACTTTTATATGACAAAAAATATCATTAAATTAAAGACCGATAGGTGATTATGGTGGCTGTTGTTAGTGGTGAATGATGGAAATTAAATTGAAGTATTGCCTCGCTCACCTGTATCTCAAACAAATGAGTAGAGATTCGAATTATTGCCTCGTCGTCCATGCTAGATTATTGTTTGTGGTGATGTCTCCGAGACTAAAGCTAGCAAACTACACTACAAAACAAGAGTAGTAGAGTGCTTTGAAGTTTCCAAATTAAGGGCACTCAAAATAGAATGGTGTTGGGTACTTTTTGCTCCAAAAATGGGACAGCTATGTCTAATCCAACCTAACCTTAATTAGCTCACGGGTCTCAAGCTTGTAATGCCCACTTGTTATCCAATGGCCACAAGGAGTGAATGCACACAAAGTTTTCATATGTCAACACTTAATAGTGTAGTGTTGTCAAATAGAAAAAAAAAAAAAAATCTATTGTCTCAGTCAATACAAAAATATTTGGGCAAATTACATTTATCTTTCTTGCAGTTTGACCAAATAACAACTAGGTTCTCTCTTGTTCGAAAAATAACACTGATTTATACATAGAAGAGAGAGTGAGAGAGAGAGAAAAGATATTGAGGAAGAAATTATGGGTTGTGTGAGGGCTGTTAATTGAGTTAAACTGTTCAAGTTTGACTTATGTTCTAAACGAATCGAGTTTAAATAATTTTTTAGACTCATTTTTAAAAGGTTCAACTCGCTTATATCTAAAAAAAATTGAGTTACTTAACGAATTTTTTAGACTCATTGACAGACTTGGACTCATGCTTATAAAGTTCGGGTTGATTAACAACCCTTCAGTGGGAGAAATAAATTTACAAAAGGAGAAATGGAAGAGACGAAATTGGGGAAGAAAATGTGGAAGAAATGAAATTGAAGAAGAAANAACGCAAACAAAATAAAAAAATATAATAGAATAAGAAAGAGGGAGAAAGTTATATAAGAGATAGGAGTCTTGGAGTTATAAAAGGAATAAAAATTTAATTAAGACCATCGGATCAAAACGATTTGAGTCACGAAAAGATCAAGACAAACAATTTACCTATTTTATTATATAGATTTAGATATAATTCGTCCAAACAATTGATGTCATTTCAACTAATTAATCGTATTTTTGTTGCTAATGAAACTTGAATCTTTGCCCTCATAAAAATTAAACTTTTATATGACAAAAAATATCATTAAATTAAAGACCGATAGGTGATTATGGTGGCTGTTGTTAGTGGTGAATGATGGAAATTAAATTGAAGTATTGCCTCGCTCACCTGTATCTCAAACAAATGAGTAGAGATTCGAATTATTGCCTCGTCGTCCATGCTAGATTATTGTTTGTGGTGATGTCTCCGAGACTAAAGCTAGCAAACTACACTACAAAACAAGAGTAGTAGAGTGCTTTGAAGTTTCCAAATTAAGGGCACTCAAAATAGAATGGTGTTGGGTACTTTTTGCTCCAAAAATGGGACAGCTATGTCTAATCCAACCTAACCTTAATTAGCTCACGGGTCTCAAGCTTGTAATGCCCACTTGTTATCCAATGGCCACAAGGAGTGAATGCACACAAAGTTTTCATATGTCAACACTTAATAGTGTAGTGTTGTCAAATAGGAAAAAAAAAAAAAATAATCTATTGTCTCGGTCAATACAAAAATATTTGGGCAAATTACATTTATCTTTCTTGCAGTTTGACCAAATAACAACTAGGTTCTCTCTTGTTCGAAAAATAACACTTATTTATACATAGAAGAGAGAGTGAGAGAGAGAGAAAAGATATTGAGGAAGAAATTATGGGTTGTGTGAGGGCTGTTAATTGAGTTAAACTGTTCAAGTTTGACTTATGTTCTAAACGAATCGAGTTTAAATAATTTTTTAGACTCATTTTTAAAAGGTTCAACTCGCTTATATCTAAAAAAAATTGAGTTACTTAACGAATTTTTTAGACTCATTGACAGACTTGGACTCATGCTTATAAAGTTCGGGTTGATTAACAACCCTTCAGTGGGAGAAATAAATTTACAAAAGGAGAAATGGAAGAGACGAAATTGGGGAAGAAAATGTGGAAGAAATGAAATTGAAGAAGAAAATGTGGGGGAGATGGAGTGCATTATTGTCATTTTATAATTTTTTTAGACAAAAAAGATTGATGTCACATGGGAGGTCAATGTTATTTTGCAATAAAAGTAGTCTAGTTATTATTTGATCAAATTTTGTGCCAGGTGAATGTAGTTTACCCAAAATATTTGAACAGAAAGTCCCAATTAAAACTAGTTTTAACATTGTTAATCAAACTGAACTATTTAAGTTTGACTTGGATTTTGCTCGTTCAAGCTCGATTTTTTATTTAAACAAGCTAAACCTAAACAAGTTTTTAGAATAATTTAAAAACACAAGTCCTACAAGCTCGACTCAAATTCAATAAGCTTGATTCATTTATTTGTAAATATTTGGACTTGACTTGGACTTTACTTGTTTTGAGCTCGTTTAGGCTCGGTGAATTTTTTAAACTAGTTAAATTTGAATAATTTTTTAAATTTAATTAAAAAACAAAATTTTCAAACTCAAGGACCCGTTCGACTAACCACCTATTAAAACATTATACAAGAAATCTAATTCAATTTTATATATAGATATGTTCATTATTTAGATCGATTATAATTATAGATATATTTGTTTATTATTCTTTACCCAATCTGTCACTCCACAACTGTCAGAGTGACAGCCAAGCAAAGTAAAATCAATCACTATCACAGAGAGAGAAAGAGAGCGCTCCCGGCGCCCCCCCTTCTCTGTTCACTTCAAGTACAAGACAAAGCCGAAACGACCTCCCAACCAACCCACCATTCTTCTCTCTCTCTCTCCCCGTCTCTCGCGATAGCGATCGGGCGTTGGATCGAACATCTTGGATTCTTTCAGNTGATTTATACATAGAAGAGAGAGTGAGTGAGAGAGAAAAGATATTGGGGAAGAAATTATGGGTTGTGTGAGTGCTGTTAATTGAGTTAAATTGTTCAAGTTTGACTTATGTTCTAAACGAATCGAGTTTAAATAATTTTTTAGACTCATTTTTAAAAGGTTCAACTCTCTTATATCTTAAAAAAATTGAGTTACTTAACGAATTTTTTAGGCTCATTGACAGACTTGGACTCATGCTTATAAAGTTCGGGTTGATTAACAACCCTTCAGTGGGAGAAATAAATTTACAAAAGGAAATATGGAAGAGACGAAATTGGGGAAGAAAATGTGGAAGAAATGAAATTGAAGAAGAAAATGTGGGGGAGATGGAGTGCATTATTGTCATTTTATAATTTTTTTAGACAAAAAAGATTGATGTCACATGGGAGGTCAATGTTATTTTGCAATAAAAGTAGTCTAGTTATTATTTGATCAAATTTTGTGCCAGGTGAATGTAGTTTACCCAAAATATTTTAGCAGAATGTCCCAATTAAAATTAGTTTTAACATTGTTAATCAAACTGATCTATTTGAGTTTGACTTGAATTTTGTTCGTTCAGGCTCGATTTTTTATTTAAACGAGTCTAAACCTAAACAAGTTTTTAGAATAATTTAAAAACACAAGTCCTACAAACTCGGCTCAAATTTAATAAGTTTGATTCATTTATTTGTAAATATTTGGACTTGGCTTAGACTTTACTTATTTTGAGCCCGTTTAGACTCGGTGAATTTTTTAAACTAGTTAAATTTGAATAATTCCTTAAGTTTAATTAAAAAACAAATTTTTCAAATTGAACTTGAATTCAATTAGGACCCGTTCGACTAACCACCTATTAAACATTATACAAGAAATCTAATTCAATTTTATATATAGATATGTTCATTTTTTAGATCGATTATAATTATAGATATATTTGTTTATTATTCTTTATCCAATCTGTCACTCCACAACTGTCAGAGTGACAGCCAAGCAAAGTAAAATCAATCACTATCACAGAGAGAGAGAGAGCGCTCCCGGCGCCCCGCCTTCTCTGTTCACTTCAAGTACAAGACAAAGCCGAAACGACCTCCCAACCAACCCACCATTCTTCTCTCTCTCCCCCCGTCTCTCGCGATAGCGATCGGGCGTTGGATCGAACATCTTGGATTCTTTCAGTTCTTATGTAATCTAAGGTACATAGAAAAATAGTATTCACAAGTCAGTGTCGGCATTTCATCTTGGGACCCACATTTGAATCAACAAATCCCTCCCACCTTCACCAACATGTTTCCCGAGCTCTTTCTCTCNCGACAATTAAAAGATTTGCACGTGCTTGAGTCAAAATCTAGCCCGTACATGAGGGGACATTTTGATATAATTAAATATTTGCATTATATTTGGCTAATAACTTAAGATCAAAATTGGGGCTGTTTTTTTTTCTGAAGTTTGAATGTCAACACGAATTTGGGACTGTTTTAGTTGTCTCATGGGATTGAACTGATATGAATACATTTGTTGAAAAGTTGCTCGTAATTCAGGGAAATTGGAAGAATTATGTCATAATAACAGTTTGATCAAGTCCCCAATGCGGTGTTATGATGATGAATTATAAACTGTTATTTGTTACACTAACAATATTTTTGTTGATTCATGTACTTCACCTTAAACTATGGATTGATGAACTACACTCCGCTTTCTTGTTCACTATCTTGAATGACCAGGAAATGTATTGGTCTCTGATGGGAATCCCAAAAAGTCTACTGCTTCCCATAAGGTATATCATCATTTTGTAATCACTTGGTTGGTGTTTCTTTTGAAGGTCAATCAGAAATTAACAACTTTCGTTGTTATGCTGGATTTTAGTCACAGGATGGATCAAATGGAACAAATGATGCTGTACAGGAAGAAAATTCCAAGTAAAGTTTTCTTGTGCTTGGTCTGATCTAACAAGTGTAAGTATGTAGTAACCATTAGCATATATGTTCTCTGGAAATAATTGTTCGCTGCTGGTGATGAACAGGGCTCGTCTTCAACGTATTTTGGGAACTCGAAAGGCAGTCCTCCGGAAGGAGNTCATAACAGTTTGATCAAGTCCCCAATGCGGTGTTATGATGATGAATTATAAACTGTTATTTGTTACACTAACAATATTTTTGTTAATTCATGTACTTCACCTTAAACTATGGATTGATGAACTACACTCCGCTTTCTTGTTCACTATCTTGAATGACCAGGAAATTTATTGGTCTCTGATGGGAATCCCAAAAAGTCTACTGCTTCCCATAAGGTATATCATCATTTTGTAATCACTTGGTTGGTGTTTCTTTTGAAGGTCAATCAGAAATTAACAACTTTCGTTGTTATGCTGGATTTTAGTCACAGGATGGATCAAATGGAACAAATGATGCTGTACAGGAAGAAAATTCCAAGTAAAGTTTTCTTGTGCTTGGTCTGATCTAACAAGTGTAAGTATGTAGTAACCATTAGCATATATGTTCTCTGGAAATAATTGTTCGCTGCTGGTGATGAACAGGGCTCGTCTTCAACGTATTTTGGGAACTCGAAAGGCAGTCCTCCGGAAGGAGCAGGCGATGGCTTATGCTCGTGCTTTAGTTGCCGGATTTGAAATTGACTACATAGATGATCTAATATCTTTTGCTGATGCTTTTGGAGCTTCACGTTTGAGGTATGGAAAGATGAAACTATGTTGGTAGAATGATTGTTGTGGAGATAAAGATGAATTTTCTGGCAGCAACATGGCATGAGATACGTTAAAGCATGCATTAAGTTCGTAGTGCTCAAGGTGACTTTTCATTACCGTTCTTTTCCTGACATTAAAACCTGGTGCAAAGGGCTTCTGCATTTTAGATCTGTAATTGGTCAGAAACTGACTTGGCTGGCACCAATATACAGTTTCCATTGTAATTGGAATTTATTTGTTTCACTCTAATAACCAAGCCACTTCAGACGAAGTGCGTTCTTTTTGCCATTCATCGAGATTGGAATGGCATCCATATCAACCACTTTGTTGCAATGTTGCTAGTAAACCAAATTAAGGAGGTTGATATTTGGAGTGCAAAGCTGAGCTGCACCAAATTGCATTTGAATTCATCTTATTTAGAAGTTAAGGTTGAAAAGATATGATTCACATGAACGGCCAAAGCTGGATCATAGTTTGTTTGAGAAAGCAATCAATTGAACATTTTTCTTTCTGTTAGAAGAGGAGACTAAAGGAGTGGTTACCTCAACTTTTCAAGGGATTCATCCACATCTTCGCTTATGAGGGATTGAACTGCTGTTACTGGGCAACATGGGAGCTTTCCCCATTAAAGAAATTCATTGATCCCTATGCCCAAAGTTTTGATCCCAGTTCACCATTTCTGGTACAGTTGTAAAATTTTATCTTTTAGCAACAAACAGATCAGCAAGCAGAACACATGTCTGTACAAAATAATATGGCAAAATGACCAAACCACGCTTGCTATCAATTTCAAATGCAACATATTGATCTGTTCTTTTTCAAAGCTATTCCCACATGGCATGCTTTTGGTTTTTTGCTCAAACTATCTGAATTTATTTGAATGATGACTATACTGGTCTCCTATTTTAGTTTTCAAAATTTTAAGTACTGGTTCAAGATAGAGAAGGCATATCTTGCCTTCAAAATTTGTATTTTTCTTTCTTTTCTTTTTTTTTTTTTGGCACTTTGGTTAAGTTTTAGGATCTAACTCCTTTTTTTATTCTTTTCCAAAGGGAAGCATGCATAAATTTCATTGAATTGTGCAAAAAAAAGAACGATGATAGAGTCTGGATGGATGAAATAGCAGCAATGCAGGCATGCTCTTATCCAGAATTGTCATATTCGGGTACATCTGGAATCGTTCTTGCTGGTGAAGATAATTATCCTAGTCAAGATATCATGAATGCCCAAAATGGTGGTCCCCCTAGTAGAAATCAGGATGGCTCTATAAATGCGTCAGAATCTGACACAACCACGAGCTCTGGAAGTTTAAACCCTAACCAAGGTATAGATGATCAACCTTTGTACATCTTTTCTTCCCCTAGATTTTCGTGGTTTACAATTTCAATTGCAGTGAACCACTAAATAAGTTATTGGTGTTGGTTGCAAATTTGCAATTGTTGGTTTTTGATCCAAACGTGTTAAGGGAATTTTCCTATCAAAAAAAGTGTCTGCATCCAGTAGACATTAAACAGATTTAACATCAGAGTTTTATTTTCCCAAAGATGTTGCAATTACCACTGTTTTGTAATTCTGTAGTATCCATCTTTCAAAAGGGAAATTTGATCTATGGTTATTTCTACATTTAACTGTGGTTCATCATCATGCTGATTTCCAGGGGCACACACATGAAATGCAAAAATTGCTTACAAATTCCTAGAGACATTTGTTTCTAGCTGACTGATGGTTAATCTTTGGTCCTAAAAAATTTCATGTATAATTTATTACATGCTAAAATCTCAGAACTAATCTGCAGATGGGAAACCTCAAGTGCCAATGTCATGGGCAACCCATCTTCCTCAGTACATGCACAATCTTCAGGGTCCTCTATTTCAACAAATGCCCCCATATCCAGGGTACCCTTTTCCTGGCATGCAACTTGCCCCTCCATACTACTCAGGAAATGTGCAATGGCCTCCAAACGTGGAAGAATCTGGGCAGGGTCTTAATTGGGAACACGATTATCGGCGGAATCGTCCATCTAAAAAAAGTAAAGAGAAATATTCACATCGAAAAGGGTCAAGAATTTTGGAAGAAGATGATATGACAGATCCCAGTAACTCCAGTTCTGAAAATGGTTCAGATGACTACGAAGAACATGAGAAAAAAGGTTCTTTGATTGAGAAGCTCCATGCAAGAAAGCATGGGAAGAGGTCCTCACGAAAGGTGGTTATACGCAATATAAATTACATCACTTCCAAAAGAGATGGAGAAAAGGGCAGTGGCTCTGAGTGTAATTCATCTGATGAGGATGGATTCATTGATGGGGATTCTCTCAAGCAGCATGTAGAGGAAGCTGTTGGGTCTTTGGAGAGACACCATAAATCAACCTCTCGTGGTAAAAAGAAGCGTGATGGGAGCATACACCATGATGGGACAACTGGTGCTGCAGATCAGCATGATGAGAATGTAGTTGCAAACAATTTTGAAGGACAGACAAGAAATGAGAGCTGGGATATGTTCCAGAACCTTCTTATGAAGGAGGCCGATTCAGGAGCTAATGGCATGGACTCGCAATCTGCACACATTGAGGAGTTTTTGACAACCAAGACATCTGCGGAAAGAATGCCTATTGAATTTAATATGGAATCCAAAGTGACAAAACATTGTGTGGTTTCAACTGATTCCTTTTTCATGACTGAGAGGGTTACAGGAAGTGATGGTAAAACTGGCATAGCAAATTTTGAATCTGGGGAATATATCCGTCCGGTTACTAAGAGAGATAGCACGTATGAGGAATTGTTACTCACGCAGAGAGAGAAAGAATCAGAAAGCCATTTGCATGGTACTTTATCAGATTCTTTCACTGAATCTTCCATTGTCAAGAGTCGAAGAGAAGATTTTTTCATTTCCAACCAACCAAATATTTCAACAAATCAGGATGGAAGCATAGACCACAGCTACAGTTCATCTTTCGTAGTTGATCATTTCCAGTCCAGCAAAAATAAAAAAGATGTTGTCGATGATTCTTTCATGGTTCAAGCTCGACCAATACACAACTTATCTGATTCTGAACTGAGGACAGACATATTCATGGTTTCGGATGTTGTCGGAGACTCCCAACCAAGGCAAAACACACCAGACAATACACAAGAGAAAGCTGAAGCTACCAATGTCTATGAGCCAGATGATCTGTACGTGGTGCTTGGGCGGGATTCAGCTGTAGATCAAGCTTTGGTATCTTGGAATCCTGAAATGGATTACGGAAATAACAGTTCCTTCAGTGAAGCTGTTAAAAGGCAATCTGATGTTGCAACCACCGATTGTGTTGACGCTAAGCAGGGAGCCAACGCTGGAATTACTGGATCTTCTGAAGAGAAAGGTATGAGTAAAGAAGCAAGATCTAAAGCTTCAGCCAAGTCTCTTGGAAAGAGTAAATCTGAGATCCTTTCCAGGAGCAACAAACCTTCTTCCGGAAGCAGAACCATGGTTCAGAAGAGCAAATCTGTGAAGGTACTGAAGTAACTGAACCACACTTACCAAGTTCTTGGGCATCCCATGAAATTGGATATTGGTTAATTTCTTTGTCTGCGTTTAATGAGTCTATTTTCTCTCCCTTTCGGGTTTTTAGCTGACTTGTGGGATAACACTATCTCTCTCTTTCTGCTAATATATTATGATTTCCTGTTTGATATTTGTCCTTTTTGCTCAGCTGAGTTTGAGTTTCTTCCTTTGTTTTTATTCCTTTGCATAGGAAGAAGAGACTAGGAAGAAAATGGAGGAGTTATTGATTCAACGTCAGAAGAGAATTGCTGAAAGAAGTGCTGTTCGTGGTGTTACTCCAGCAACATCTAAGAGGACGCCAGAAGAGAGCCAGAAAACGATGGCTTCCCAGAAAAATGAGAAACAAAAAGTGCAGAACCCAACTACAGAGATAAAGCANTCCGTGGTGTTACTCCAGCAACATCTAAGAGGACGCCAGAAGAGAGCCAGAAAACGATAGCTTCCCAGAAAAATGAGAAACAAAAAGTGCAGAACCCAACTACAGAGATAAAGCATCAAAACAAGACAGTCCTCAGGAGTTCCACCATAGATCGTCTTGCAGCTGCACGCACAACTCACAAGCTATCAGATACTGAAGTAAAACCTGGCCAGCCTAAAAAGCCAACCCTGAAGAGTAATGGTCTTGTGGGTACTTCCTCGTCACAGAAGACAGGTGGAGCTGAGAACAAGAAACTGAACTCCAACAAGGTTAGACCTTCAGATAAGAAAAATAGTCCAAAGAACTCAAATGGATTGGATTCCTCTGTATCTGATGTTAAGGGGGAGAAGGATTGCATGGATGCCATGACAGCTTTGCCAGCAGAATTCAGCACTGCCCAATCAACTCAACCCTCTGCTGTGATCGATGATTCTGAAAACATTAAGGGGCTACATATAACTCCAATCGAGAACAATAAACGAGATATGAGTTCACAAGGGGCTGTTTTGGATGACAAGAGCTACACTGTGATTTCTTATAAAGATAACTTATCCGTGCCTACTGAAAACCACTCTGGACAACTGGATTGCTTGAATAGTGACAAGAAGTTGACATCTAAGCCATCTCCAGTTCTTCTTGAGGGCACGCCAGTTTCTGAAGATCCTGGTGGATGTACGCCTGATACGACACCACCCACATTGCCTGGCAAAGCTTTGAATTCCACTGCTATGGACATTGATAATGATGGTGTGGCAAATAAGACATTCTCCTTATCTTCTGAAATTTCTGTGATAGAAATCTCAACTCCACCACCAGATAATGAAATGAACCCGGAACTCACTCACTCAAGGAAGAAATGGAACAGTGATGAAAACTCGCCTAAAGCTGCCAAGGGGTTCAGAAAGCTTCTATTGTTTGGTCGGAAAAGCAAAAACTCTCCAATGGATTGATCCCATGGATATCCATTCATTTCTCTACTAAGGATTATGTTCCGATGCCATTTCTTTATTCCACGTTGGATTTGGAGTGAGATGCAGGCCCATCTATTTAACTGTTTGATATTCCAGCAGATTTGAACAGGCTGCCAAACAAAAGAACCTAGGTATCTCCAATGCATAATAAGGCCTTGGGTGTTGCTGCCAATATGATGAGTCATTCTGTAAGTCATCTGAATATGATCAGAGATAAGGCTGTGAACAGGTTACCCTTTTGTTTTAGACAACTTATGGATTTGAATTGATTGTGTGTTGATATTCATTGAATCTTGTATGTATTGTTTGTAATTTTTATTTGATTTATTTGTACCTATCACAAAACTCTGTAATGATTTTTTTGTCGTAATAAATTTGCTCTACCATTTGAAGTTGTTACTTATTCTAGGAGTTCCTTCTACATTTGATTGACCTGCCATTATATTGGATTTGGATGGGCTCATTGTCCACGGAGTTCATGTAACAACTTTCACGGGCTAACCTGAACTCAATTTGAACTGAGTCCGAAAAAATAGGACTTGAGTTAAAGTTTTAAAATTTGGCTTGGGGTTGGGCTAAGGCTAAAATATCTCAACCCGAATTAAATTCGGGTCAGTATGAGACTTTAGGTTTATTTATTCAACTCGAAATTANCCGAGTCCGGAAAAATAGGAGTTGAGTGAAAATTTTAAAATTTGGCTTGGGGTTGGGCTAAGGCTAAAATATCTCAACTCGAATTAAATTCGGGTCAGTATGAGACTTTAGGTTTATTTATTCAACTCGAAATTAAAATAAATACATACATACAAAAAATTTAATTGTATTTTAGGTTTCTATCGAATTTATTTTGAATTTAAGTTGACCAAATTATTGTGTCATGCTTGAAATTGAGCTCGAAATTGAACCTAATTTACGAACTATAATTCAACTCAAAATAGGAGCCTGATTTGAGTCCAAATTAGTTAGACTCGAAATTAATTTGGACAATACTCTAGTTGAATAACTCGAGTCAAAAGTCGGGCTTGAGTTAGGTTAGGGTTAAAATTTTAGAACTTAAGGTGAACCTAAATTAATCCACTAACCTGTCAAACTACCTGAATTACACCCCTGTTGACGAATCAAATATAGTGTCAAAAAATAATTTCTTAGAATAAACAATTAATTCAAAAGATTGCTTTAAGTAAAATACAAACAAAGCATCAAAGATATCTTCAACAATTAAGTACTTTGGTTATTTTAATTTTTTAAAAATTATATTTGTTAATCTTCAATATCATATATCAGACAATTCAATTACACACTCTCCAATATCAATGCCAAACAATCCTTTTATCCCACACATACGTCTTTCTTCTATTTTCCCTGCCCTCTCTCTCTTTTTTTTCTATATCCACTTTTTTAAAAAATAAATTATAATTTAACGACTATAACTAATCCTCAATTTTTAGTACTACAAAATCTATTGGGTTAATTACAAAATGTCTCCTTTAAATTTAAGTTACATTCAATCACTTCCCTTTAGTTTTAGTTTCAATAATTTATCCCCTCAAAGTTTGACTATTTATAAATGAAGTCAAGTCATTAATTTTGATAGTAAAAAATAGCAGAAAATATTCATTTACAAATCACATAATCTCAAATTCTACCAAAAGACAAGATCATTCTTTACATCATTTTGTCTTGAGAAGAAGAATGTGGAGTCTTTTGACCCGAGGAAAAAATTTCGAATTCGGAATGATTTTATTTTTTCAATAAATCTGAGATCATGTGACTTAATTTTCATTATTTTTCATTGTTGAAGCTAACAATTTGATTTACTTGAAAAATGTATAAACTTTGAGGAGTTAATTTGTTAAAATTCAAACTATAGAGAATTAACTGCAACTTGATTCAAACTTGAAGGGACATTTTATAATTAACCCAAATCTATTTAGAAAAGCTGGTTGTGAATATTTTAGGTGGAGGACAATGAAGAGCTAGAAAGAGAGGGAATGAGGTGGAATGTCTCCTTTTCACCATTCCAGCCGTAACTTTGACGGGAAGAAAGAAGATGCCACCCAATCGTCTCTCTCACGCAGTCATCGACGGAGCCGTACGATCAACACATCAACTACTTGGCACATTGTGGTCGACCCATTATGCCAAACACCTTCTCTGGGTAGAAACTGTCTCACGGAAGATGACAATTACTGAGTGGTTGTAATTTAGTAGCTCAAATGTTGCTGGTGAAATATACCCTTTGCCAATTGACAGTTGAGATGTCATAATCTATAGTAGTTTTCTATATATTTTTTTATGGGTTTCTTTCTGCTTCATTAACACTCCAGTTGCTATGTATTTGAACAGAGAGAACGCGGAGAGAGAGACAGTGTGACTTGAGAGAGAGAGATCTAGATCTGTGGGTGTGTGAATTGGAGGTTCATTTCAATGGCTTCGAAATTGTTGATGGGTGTGGTGTTCATCTTCGATGTGATTGCTTTTGGCTTGGCTGTTGCTGCTGAGCAGAGAAGAAGCACTGTAAGTACTGGTGCAGCATTACCCTTTTTTCGCTGTAAAATGAATGTGTGATAGTATGTAAATATGATGTTGTAGACAATCCTGTTGTTAATTAATGATCTGATTGGTTTCTGAGGAAGGCTATAGAAAAAATGATATCTTGGAATTCCCAAAAAGAATTTCCATTTCCTCAATTGAAACACTACAGAAGATTTCAGATCTATTCCTCCAGNTGCTGAGGAAGGCTATAGAAAAAATGATATCTTGGAATTCCCAAAACGAATTTCCATTTCCTCAATTGAAACACTACAGAAGATTTCAGATCTATTCCTCCAGTTAAAACTTCTGCAAAACATCACACATTAACACACACACACAGAGGAAGAAAAATTGGGTGGTTTTAAGGATTAATGATAATTTACTTACCTATCTTCAAAACATTTTAAGGATTTTCAAATGAATTCATGAAGTAATCAACTATTCCTTAGATCTATAATGCCTATGGAAGTTTTGTTTATGAATATGGTATATTAAGGATTATTCATTTTTTGGATCAAGATTGACCACTATTCAATTAGAACTATACCTGTGATTGGTTGCTAAGAAATTGAAAAGGAAATAAAAGTCAAATTTGGATTCTATTGTTTTATGTTGCTTTTTTTTATACAAAGGATGAACATGTCTGAGATCCAAAATCAGATTTCTTTTATCCTATATCTTCTCAGGAACCAAGTAGAGCATGAGGTTTCAATTTTGTCCGTTAATTACATATGCATATCATCAACCATAGTGTTTGAATTTGGATTGTTTCGCTTATCTAGTTCTGTGGAATTTGAGATCCTGCTTTCCATACTTGTTTTACTTAGGGATCTAATGGAACTTAAATCAAATTCAAGAACACACTGGTACATAAAATGACCAAACATACAACCGGTACTAAGCCTCTATTCCAATTTGCTGTCCAATCCATGGTTGTCTAAGCACTATGACCAAGTTCATGATACGTTGATACTTAATCTCAGCCATCAAACAAAGAAATAACCCAATTATGTGATTATTGATGTGGCAGGCCACGATCCAGCAGGATAGTGAAGTGGATTATAACTACTGTGTCTATGACTCCGACATTGCGACTGGCTTTGGCGTTGGTGCATTTTTGTTCCTAATGGCTAGTCAAGTTCTCATTATGGTTGCAAGCCGATGCTTCTGCTGTGGGAAGGCTTTGAACCCTGGGGGCTCAAGGGCTTGTGCAGTACTTCTTTTCATAATCTGCTGGTACATTCTCCTACCAAATCATACTCGTATGATATAACTGTTGCTCTGTGATAGAATTTAAAAGATTCAGAACAATAGTATCACACTCCATGACTGAAAGTGCTCTTGTTTGATAACTCATTATAGTTTTCTCACACTAATAATACAAGAATCATTTATTTATTCCCACTGTGCTAAATTTATCAGTTACGTTTCAGGGTCCTGTTTTTCATTGCGGAGGTATGCTTGCTGGCCGGTTCAGTGAGGAATGCCTACCACACCAAGTACAGAACCATCTTCAGTGAAAGCCCACCCTCTTGCCAGACTGTGAGAAAGGGAGTTTTCGCAGCAGGAGCAGCTTTCGTTTTCTTCACTGGCATAGTCTCTGAATTCTACTATGCTTCCTATTCCAAAGCCAGGGGAAACTTCCTTCCCTATGGAGGAGAAGCCAATGTGGGTCTGGCAACCTATAAATGAGCTTGGCTAAGGTGACGATGACCATCTCATTGAGATAGCTGTGATTCTCGGAATTGTCTGCATCAATTTGATCACTTCACTGCCTGTCTGTGTTCCATATCATGTTATTGAGTTCAATTTAGTTGGAAATAGTTTGTATATTGATACATGGTCCTCAATTTTTAATTCTTTTGTGATACTGTGAAAATTTTCCTTGTATGCAATATATTAATAATAGGAGGATGTTGTCTCTGTTCCTTTGCAATACGGGAAATATCGCACAGACTAACAGATGTGAACAGTAGTTTCATAGCTAAAACAAGAAGCAATATAAAACGGTGTAGTTATTCATGACCCATGGTTTGAGTCTGGCTATGGAGTTGTTGAGGTGCTTTGGTTTATCTCAAAGTGCTGGATTTTCCGGTTGGAACAACCCGCCTCTTCCTATCATCTGAGTAAGAGAGATCACCGCAATCCCTCCTAATCCCATCCCACTTCATTGGGTAGAAAATTACCCCTCAGACAGTTGAATTTAGAGGAGCAGTTATGGGAAAGTAATAATTGACTTTTTAAGAGTAAAAAAATCAAATCAATGATTACAAACATTAAAGGAAAAAGGTAACTATATGGGCATGTGATAGTTTTTAACTGGATAGAATTTGTTTATTGTTTTGGGAAGGGATTGTCTCTCCAAGACTTTTCTTCCACAGTCTGATTCTTACATAAATATTTTGAGAATTCTGATTCTACTCAATCACAAAGTGATACTCAATAAAATGGCCAACCCATCTTCGAATTCCCCCTCCGTAGCAGAGTGTAGGTATCTTCTATCTCAGAGCTTTCCTAATTTCAGAGGTTTGCTGATTCCCCTGTTTGTGCACTTCAGTTTGAACATGGTCCATCTCTCTGTTTGTTGGTTGTCCTCCCCTTTTTTTTCCAGTTTCCTCTCATCAAAGCTCATTTAACCACAAAGCCTGCAATTTGGACCTCTAGGTTCCTTGCTTGTCAGTCTCTTGGTCAATAAAAAGACAAAAGTTTAGGGTTCAGACATGCAACAGGTAACCACCTTGTTTTGTGGTTGAACTGATCTTTTCAGACCTATATAGTTACCAAAGTATTGCAATGTTTTTTAGAAATTCTATTTATTTCTATGCCTTTTTCTCTTTTTTTTTTCTTTTTTTTCTTTTTTAGGTTCAATAGGGCTCTTGATTCCTTCTTGTTGTAAGCCTCCTGAATGATTTATGCTGATGAACCAAATGCCCAAAGGTGTTTTCGGAATTGTACAACCTTTATTAATAATAACCTGTAAAANGATTCTTACATAAATATTTTGAGAATTCTGATTCTACTCAATCACAAAGTGATACTCAATAAAATGACCAACCCATCCTCGAATTCCCCCTCCGTAGCAGAGTGTAGGTATCTTCTATCTCAGAGCTTTCCTAATTTCAGAGGTTAGCTGATTCCCCTGTTTGTGCACTTCAGTTTGAACATGGTCCATCTCTCTGTTTGTTGGTTGCCCTCCCCTTTTTTTTTCCAGTTTCCTCTCATCAAAGCTCATTTAACCACAAAGCCTGCAATTTGGACCTCTAGGTTCCTTGCTTGTCAGTCTCTTGGTCAATAAAAAGACAAAAGTTTAGGGTTCAGACATGCAACAGGTAACCACCTTGTTTTGTGGTTGAACTGATCTTTTCAGACCTATATAGTCACCAAAGTATTGCAATGTTTTTTAGAAATTCTATTTATTTCTATGCCTTTTTCTCCTTTTTTTTTCTTTTTTTTCTTTTTTAGGTTCAATAGGGCTCTTGATTCCTTCTTGTTGTAAGCCTCCTGAATGATTTATGCTGATGAACCAAATGCCCAAAGGTGTTTTCGGAATTGTACAACCTTTATTAATAATAACCTGTAAAATAATAAACTATACTTCTTAAGGAATCAAGATCTCCTTTAATGGACTTTCTCTCGGCTTCTTTTAACAGTAGATCAGCTACCTATTCTTCTAGAGACCCATTTGTATGTATTGGGTTTTACTTGATTTCATGAAACGTAGTCCACTATTGGGAAGAAATATTTAAAAAATCTACATTGATTACATCCAAATCCCTTTTAGAACCTTGTGTAAAAGGATTATATTAGGTGAAAATTTTATACAAACTACTTTTATTATTGCATTTGTCTTGTCTACGACTCTAATGTGGCTCACTTATGGATTTTGGTACATTAAGCTTTTCACATGTGACTTGTAGACAAAAGTTTTTGGGCCTCAGAAAAAAAAAATGAGGTTCTTTCAGGAATTCCCCCCCCCCCCCAAAAAAAAAAAAAAAAAAAAAAAAAAACCCGGGGGCATGCTATATTAGCAATCGGATGATTTAAGATAGAGCTTTGACAAAAACATTATATATATAATATAATTACACAGGAGTTGACTATTCAAGTTATCCCAAATGGATTTAACTTATTTTTTGAAACAAAGTCACATCATGACTACGTAGTATTGAGTTTGACAATCTTCGCGAACTCAACTACAAGCTGTTTATTAAGATATGAATGACACTACCAAATCTTGATCGTGCAATTCTCCCCAATAGATCGAAATGGACAAAAATTTTCTTCGATATGTTTGGACTAATTTGAAAGGAAGCTCTCTCTTTTATGCCATGTCAGAAGTAGTAACATCATTCATTATTCACCAATCGACAGGTATTTAAAAACTTGCTTGCAATTTGACCAAGATTTGGGAAGACAAAATTGTGGCATTATAAACTTCTTGCACCAAAAACACACCATATTTTCCTAACCACCTTAGTTTATGGTTATTTGGTTCATTCCTCATAGTACTTTTGCTTGATGCCAAGGCAAATGGTTTTAGAAAATTAAGAAATGAAGATATACCGCATGCATTGCTACATCTACACATATCTTGTTATCGATCTCAAGTTGACATTTAGGCCATCTAATCCAAGTGCATCAACACTTTTCAGGTAATTAGCACTTGTTTGTTCATCTGTTTTACCATAGTTTTTGACTGGCTATATTCATTCAGAGTGTAAAAAAAGTGGTTGAAATGGTTCTTCCATTAAAAGTTTTGTTGCGTATAAGACTGATCCCTTGACACTTTTTATTGATCTCTAAAGTCCTCAGAGCAACATGCATACACATAAACTATTTGACCAGGACGTGGAGATGGTACAAGAACACTTTATTTTGTACAAAATTATTCTTTTTGGTTATACGTGCAACACTTTTCAGTGGATCAAAAAACAAATAGAAGCTGAAACCTAAGACTGAGTATTCTGATGAAGTGACGAAGAGAGAAGAGAGAGAGTTATGTTGGACCACCATCGACGCATGCCTACAGGCTACAACACCTACTGTGCACACACCCTCCTGGTATTTTGATTTTACATTGTTGTCTTTAACCTCTGACAATGAATTCTCAGCTGCCGAAAGTGAGAGCCCAAAGGCAGGTCACAGCAGAGAGAGAGAGAGAGCCCAATGGCATGCCATTGAGAGAGACATGTTCACTAACAACTAGCATGGTGTAGCATGCGTAGAGAATTTTTTATGTTAGGATGAGTAAACATTGCTAATGGTAAACTCTCCTACCTAGTGAGGAGGATGAGTCCTCCTGCATTTTTTTAATTTCCATTTGCAATGTTTACAATTAAAAATCTTACTTATCATCAGATTGCTGACATTTCAAGCAAAGCAAATTTGTCCCATAAATCTGTATCACTTCTTCACCATAGCTTATGATTATCTTTAAACAAAGTCAAATATTTGTTTAATCTATACACAACACATACATAACTTAAAAGAACTTTAAGGGTAGCTTAAGTGGTAACAGAGACGAGTTATAAACTCAGACGTCCTAAATTTGAATTTTGACAATTCCTTAGGGTCAGGCTACGAGAAATTTATTCCTCATAAATACCCCTAGTCCCGGTGTAGATGACTTATCTTTAACCGGACCTGCGATGAGATTAGTCGAAGTGCGTGTAAATTAGTTCGAATATCTCTATATCATAATTCTAGCATGGATTGTCTGTCTTTAACTGGGCCGTAGCGAGAATTAGTCGAAGTGCGCGTAAACTGGTTCAGACACCCCTGACTGTTAAATAAAAAAAAATAAAATTATACACATATATGACATACTCTGTCTCCAAAGTCAGCCCACCAAATCTTTTCCTGATCTTTCCCATACTTGTAAATTACCATGCTTGTCTCTTCTTTACTAGTCTTTGCCTCTTCATTTTCCATTTTCCTCCACCAGCACCAACAGATGTATAGCTTCAAACTTCTTTGACCTAATTTGGGGGTCGNGGAATTTATTTCTCATAAATACCCTAGTTCCGGTGTAGATGACTTATCTTTAACCGGCCCTGCGATGAGATTAGTCGAAGTGCGTGTAAATTAGTTCGGATATCTCTATATCATAATTCTAGCATGGATTGTCTGTCTTTAACTGGGCCGTAGCGAGAATTAGTCGAAGTGCGCGTAAACTGGTTCAGACACCCCTGACTGTTAAATAAAAAAAAATAAAATTATACACATATATGACATACTCTGTCTCCAAAGTCAGCCCACCAAATCTTTTCCTGATCTTTCCCATACTTGTAAACTACCATGCTTGTCTCTTCTTTACTAGTCTTTGCCTCTTCATTTTCCATTTTCCTCCACCAGCACCAACAGATGTATAGCTTCAAACTTCTTTGACCTAATTTGGGGGTCGAAACTGTGGAACCAATATCTTTCGGCTTTGATTTCTCTTCATACCAACATCAAGAATTCTAGGATTTGAGTATAGTTTTTTGAGAGCTCAAGTACTTTTAAAAAGTCTGGTCATGTGTGCTTGTAGATATTAGAGAAAGGAAAGGATTAGTCCTTTGGAGTTATTTGAATTCAACTGTAACTTAAACATGGAGGCTGATAGGAGCAGTAGTGCTACAAAGCAGGAGAATGATGCAAGTCTAGATATGCATTCATTGGTGTCGAACCCGAGTTCAAGAAAAGAGAGAGGCAAGAAACCATGTATTAGGCCTCCCAAGAAGATTCGAAGCCTGGAACATCCAAATGCAACTAAATCCTCGACAGAAATCACCCATCGAAAATCTCCAAATCAAATTTCTCCCCCTCTTCCTTCTTCAAAATTTGTTTTCCCTTTTGCCCTTGAACAGCCCTCAACTACTAGAAGTACCCTCCATTTCAGACCATACAATTTGCCAGAATTCAATCAGTCATCACCATTGCAGAATCAACAGATGATTTCTTTTGCTCCCCACCAACACGAATCAGTCTATTACCCACAGCATCATGAGTTTCTTAGGTACTGGAGCAACACCCTTAATTTATCGCCTCGTGGAGAACTCGAGTCAACAATGACAATGGCTGCATCCTCCACAAAGCTCTACAGGGGAGTGAGACAACGCCCATGGGGAAAATGGGTGGCAGAGATTCGCCTTCCACGCAACAGGAGTCGATTATGGTTGGGAACATTTGACACTGCAGAAGCTGCTGCTTTGGCCTATGACCGCGAGGCCTTCAGGTTAAGAGGAGAGAATGCTAGACTCAACTTCCCTCATCTCTTTCTAGCCCACAAAAATGGTGTCAAAGAGCTCTCAGTGCCTCCTAGTTCATCTTCATCTTGCATTACCATGGGAAATTCTCACCCTAATCCACAAGCTTATGACACAGCAATGGTACCTTCCACTTCAGGACTTCCTCACAACATTGCTTTGGACAAGGCAGATTTTAATAGAAATTATCCCTCTGATTTGGGATGGAATGAAATTAGAGGTAACAATTCACCAGGAGATGGTCTATTGGGATTTTATGAACCAGGGTGGGACAATATGGCTGACGTTTGGTCTGATGCAATCCAAGCTGGAGGGGTTCCTACTAACCCGGGGTGGGACCAGATCATCGACCACAGTAATGACCTGATGCAGCAATCCAACTTTATAATTTCTGGATCAATTGATGAAGGTTTGATTAGCACTGATGTCCAAATGCAACAAGAAAACTCAAGTTCCTCTCCAAAACCCTTCAAGGAAAGTGATTGATTCGATTTCTCATCTCACTCCTCACACTCGGGTTGCTTTCATTTTCTAGGGTTTTAGTCGTGGAAACCACATCTTCTTATGCAAGCGTAAGATCGTCTTCCAGTGATGGTGTGTTTTTTTTTTGGTTATTCAGTACTAGTACTAATCAGACATGTATACAAGCATGCATGGAGGAGTTGGTGTGGATGGCGTTACTCTTTGGGGGAAAGGTAGTTATGTTAGTTGACAGTTTTTCCCTTGGCCTGCCCGGCAGGTTTATTGTAGGCATTATATACGTAGTTTCATAAGAAATTCACGTTGTAATAGTATACTGTCTTCTACCAACAGACAAGATGATGAAGCATATTATCAAGATACACAATTGATGGGAGTAAGTGAGCCATTTTCATTAACTAATCCATCCCGGATAGAGGCTAAAAATTTTGGAACAGTAGTTTCTGTGATAGAAGAAGAAGAAGAAGANTGGTCTGATGCAATCCAAGCTGGAGGGGTTCCTACTAACCCGGGGTGGGACCAGATCATCGACCACAGTAATGACCTGATGCAGCAATCCAACTTTATAATTTCTGGATCAATTGATGAAGGTTTGATTAGCACTGATGTCCAAATGCAACAAGAAAACTCAAGTTCCTCTCCAAAACCCTTCAAGGAAAGTGATTGATTCGATTTCTCATCTCACTCCTCACACTCGGGTTGCTTTCATTTTCTAGGGTTTTAGTCGTGGAAACCACATCTTCTTATGCAAGCGTAAGATCGTCTTCCAGTGATGGTGTGTTTTTTTTTTGGTTATTCAGTACTAGTACTAATCAGACATGTATACAAGCATGCATGGAGGAGTTGGTGTGGATGGCGTTACTCTTTGGGGGAAAGGTAGTTATGTTAGTTGATAGTTTTTCCCTTGGCCTGCCCGGCAGGTTTATTGTAGGCATTATATACGTAGTTTCATAAGAAATTCACGTTGTAATAGTATACTGTCTTCTACCAACAGACAAGATGATGAAGCATATTATCAAGATACACAATTGATGGGAGTAAGTGAGCCATTTTCATTAACTAATCCATCCCGGATAGAGGCTAAAAATTTTGGAACAGTAGTTTCTGTGATAGAAGAAGAAGAAGAAGAAGAAGAAGACAGCAGAATGCTTCAAGGCACGTTATTATATCGATTTCTTTAAGTTGAAAATCAGTGTGTGATCTCTAGAATATAATAAAACTCAGAATCAATCTGCTAATTTGACTGCGTTATGCACACACATATTCAAACCCGAATTACTTTTGAATTTTTCTAATCTGCTAAAACACTAGAATTCTGTCTCTACAAAGAACAGATTCTAAGAAATGAAAAACGAAAATAACAAAAAATGTTACAAACTTTTCTGTATAGAGATTGCTTGAAAATTAAAGTACCTTGGAATGAATGAAATAGGCATTTAAACTTTAAAATTAACTGCCAGTCACATTTTAACATCTACTTTTAAATCTTACTATAAGCATTCTAGTGTGCACCTTCATATGCATACTAGCATTCTTAGTTAAATGCATTAATTTTTTTTCTCACTTTTTAATGTAGGATTGTCTTTAAAGTTTTTCACAACTTTCTATAAAAACTATCGTTACTCCATTTAAAATCTGACAATATACATTGTTAAGCTTGGAAAAAAAAAAAAAAAATCAAATGTACATAGTCTTACCTTATATTCTTTTTTTTTTCTTTTAAAGGGGTGGGGACAAAGAAGAGCATTAAGAGACCACCTCAAATAGGCCTTCATTGGTGGAATCATGAGACTTTGACCATGTCCTTTACTCCTCTCGGAAACGAACTTGATCTTCCATGTAAACTCCAAAACTCGAACCTCTAATTTCAAGGTAAGAAGTTTGGCTGATACTCCCATTGAACCATCCCACTTGATTGTGTCTTACCTTATATTCTGAGAAATTATTTTCATTACTGAAATCGTGGCGCGTCAACTTCCATAGACATGCTTGTTTCAACATTTAATCTTTCCGTGCACTCGTGATTGCGTTGCATCAATTAATGGCCGCTCTTTATACTCTAAATTTTTTAATAGTCACACCACCTTTATACACTACCTTAATATAAACCATTAAAAAGGATTTTGAGTAGCAATTAGGCAGAGGAGTGATTGCCAATCTATCAGGCCATAAAAGGCCCATAGTCCTGTTCAACGGAACAATTGGAGTAAAACTACACTTTTTTTGGTCCATGACAGTTGGGCCGCCAGACTTTCTAACCAGCCCATAGACAAAGGTCCAAAACAAATTAAAGAATATGTCATACACAGCTAAACGTTCAAGGAGTAATTTTAGAGTGATAAAAAAAACATATCAATTGAAAATTAAGTAAAAGTATTATTAAAAATTAGGATTGATAATCGAACTGATTTTTGCAAGTTCAACCCGACCCTGTGTCCAGCTCTTTTTTTTAAATGAGTCTAAAAAATTATTCAAATTCGACTCGTTTAAAAAATGAGTCTAGTCCAAAACAAGTTAAACTTAAGTAATTCAACTATTTTATATATAGACGAGTTCAGCATAAAAAATTATTCAAGTTCGACTTGTGTAGAACATGAACTAAGTTCAAGTCAAGTCCTATACGATTCAAGCCCCATTATCTCAGCTCGATTATCAGTCCTTATCAAAAGTATCATTATATCAACGTCACATCATTTAGTTCTCTTTTTTTAATCTTTTTTTTTTTATGGATTTAACATTATTCATGTCCGAATTCGAATATTTGCAAAAGGGTGTGTGTATTATCTGTTATATATGTATTGATCTCCATAGATTAAGCTGGTCCAACAAAGACATTTTTACTCTTTGCTCCAACCAGCAAAAAGGTCGTAATGCCATGATGTTTTTTTGCTTTGTTTCTTCTTCTTTTGATACCTCTAATTAAATAAAAAAGCAGTGCAGTGCATATGAGAGCTCTAAACAAGCTATAGAAAATGTTGGCACTGACATGTCTCCTTCCACTAATTGTAGCTTTCTTAGCATTGCCCCCAATAGCCTTTCTTTGTTGCTGTGCACATGATTCCAGATTTGCAAAAGGGCTGTATATAACTGTCCCGTTGCTGAACTTTATCTAGATGTGATATCCAACCTTTAAATGGAGGTTGGGCAAATTTTTCTTTCTTTTTTCAGTTTAGTTTAACTGTAAGGTTGTCCGGAATAAGTTATGCATAACTCGATTAATTTCTTGGTTTAGTCAAAGGCAGGTGCAGGTCATCCACGCAGTAATTAGGGAATTCATGAGGGATAAATCTCTCATAGTCTGACCCCAATAAATTGTCAAAACTTAAATTCAAAACATTTAGATTTATAGTTCGTCTTTGTTATCACTTTAGCTATCTTTGTGATACGTTTGGATGTCCTATCAAATCCAAACTCATCTAGTTGTAATTCGGATAGGATATAAATTTGTATATCCATTATTTTCCCCAATTTGGATAGATTATACATTTTTGTGGAACCCATGACTATGAATAAGAGTGAAGTAATTTACTCTCATCAACTATAATACCCTTATCTTATTCAATCCACCACCTGATTGGTTTGTAAATTATCCTCCAACCCATTCCAAACAAAAAAAAAAATACACTTTTATATCTATTTTTTTTTAACAAGTTCATATATAATAAAAAAAAGTTTATGCATAATAAAAAAATAAGTTCCTTCCTTCAGCCTTACCTGATCGACGAAGGCACAGTAACGNTTCTATCAAATCCAAACTCATCTAGTTGTAATTCGGATAGGATATAAATTGGTATATCCATTATTTTCCCCAATTTGGGTAGATTATACATTTTTGTGGAACCCATGACCATGAATAAGAGTGATGTAATTTACTCTCATCAACTATAATACCCTTATCTTATTCAATCTACCACCTGATTGGTTTGTAAATTATCCTCCAACCCATTCCAAACAAAAAAAAAATACACTTTTATATCTATTTTTTTTTTAACAAGTTCATATATAATAAAAAAAAAAGTTTATGCATAAAAAAATAAGTTCCTTCCTTCAGCCTTACCTGATCGACGAAGGCACAGTAACGACAACAGTGAGCAAAGAAGAAGAGGAGTAGCGGCGCCAGTGAGCAAAGGGTGGGCAATGGGCATATCCGTAAATTGCATTACATATCCTGCGTGGCAAAAAAATATCACAACCCGTCCTTGGATTTCATTTAACCTATGTAAGTGGGTTAAAAATGACTTTTTAAATCGGGTCGAGATAAAATCCGAATGAAATTTTTTATGCATTTTTTACTTACAAAACGTGGGATATATGGGTCTCACATTCTTTTTTTATCGTATCTTACTGTAGTTATCCACTTTTAACTTACAATCCAAACATGCACTTGGGGGTTGGTCAGGCAAATTTGTCATCTTGGTATATTGTTACCCTTCAATTGTTTATTATTGAGACTTCAAAAATTGATCTAATAATATAACAGTGACATAATCTAATAAAATTATTGTGACTGTAACTGTNGTGCATGTCCGTAAATTGCATTACATATCCTGCATGGCAAAAAAATATCACAACCCGTCCTTGGATTTCATTTAACCTATGTAAGTGGGTTAAAAATGACTTTTCAAATCAGGTCGGGATAAAATTCGAATGAAATTTTTTATGCATTTTTTACTTACAAAACGTGGGATATATGGATCTCACATTCTTTTTTTATCGTATCTAACTGTAGTTATCCGCTTTTAACCTACAATCCAAACATGCACTTGGGGGTTAGTCAGGCAAATTTTTCATCTTGGTATATTGTTACCCTTCAATTTTTTATTATTGAGACTTCAAAAACTGATCTAATAATATAACAGTGACATAATCTAATAAAATTATTGTGACTGTAACTGTTGGATTTTTTCATTAGAACTCTATTACTTAACACACCATTAAATCAGATTTTTAGGTGCCAATAACATTACTCGTGAAAAAAACATTGAAAATCTAAGAAAAATCTCTCTTAAATCCTATTATAAACAGCCTCTCCCAAATCATATGTGAACTTGTTGTGGATGACCTAAACAGTCAGAAGAACATATTAAAAAACTACCATTTTCCCTTTATTANACATTGAAAATCTAAGAAAAATCTCTCTTAAATCCTATTATAAACAGCCTCTCCCAAATCATATGTGAACTTGTTGCGGATGACCTAAACAGTCAGAAGAACATATTAAAAAACTACCATTTTCCCTTTATTAATAACTTTTCTCAGTGTGTAGCCAGTTCAATTTTATTTTAAATTACATTGTATAATGAAAGCAAACTTATCAAGCCAGATACACTTCACCGAGCGATATGAAATGCGATCATCGCAATTCATCTCCCTAGGCTCAAAAGTTTTGGTTTGGAACCCTGATGTATGATTTTGGAGGATAGGTCCCACCACACTAGTTTCAAGTTATAATCATCCCAAACCGTTATCCTTTTAGACCCCGATGCACCAATGAATGCACAAAGTAGGTGAATTATACATTACGAGTCTCTATTACCATTTGTAACGCTTTGGACTTACATTTAGTTAGGACCTTGTAGTTTAAGATGCATAGAACAATAAAATTCAACTATCAAACTTATCAAGCCGTTCAAATGCACATTACCAAACGATATGTCAAAGAGAAAAAATAAATTTATGCATTGAATGATTGTTAGCCGTTAGATGGCAACGGGGCTCACTAATTCAACAACTGATAATTATTTAGTGCACCTAACATTATTCTAATTAGATATATGCATACATGTTACTACGTTGGCCACTTGGCCAGTTGACCTAGTTTTGCTTGTATATTCTGAGGCATCATGCCCTTGT